CAAATGACCAGGAGCTGCCTGGGAATGTGAAAGATTAATAATATCAATAGTTAATGTCCATCCAGGACCCATTGGGTGCTAGGCACTGTGCTGAGTACTCCGTGTACATTACCCCATGTACACTTCACAACAAGTTTGTGAGCTAAGTCCAGGGTTACTCCTGTTTTGCACAGGAAGAAACTGAGGCTCAGAGAGGTGAAGCGACTTACCCAAGGTCACTCAGTGTATGGTGAAGCCGAGATTTGGATCCTGTTCTCTTTGACCAGGGTCCATGCACTGAATGGACCAGTACTGCTTCCCTTAGGGGAAAACTAGACCTTTCTCCCTAAACCACAGAGCCGGGCATTTGGTTTTCAGTCCAAGAGGTGGAGGGAGGAGAAAAATGAGGTTTAAGAGGCCAACTGGCGGGGGCCGGCCCCGTGGCTTAGCGGTTAGGTGCGCGCGCTCCACTGCTGGCGGCCCGGGTTCGGATCCCGGGCACGCACCGACGCACCGCTCATCCAGGCACGCTGAGGCCGCGTCCCACATACAGCAGCTAGAAGGATGTGCAAGTACCACATACAACTAACTATCTAGTGGGGCTTTGGGGAGAAAAATGGGAAAAAAAAAAAAAAGGCCAACTGGCTCCCAGTTTTCCATTCTGCCCTGAGCCCCCTCTCCCTTACCACCCCACAGGTTCCCCGTGTTGGCTTCTCCCTGGCATGGGATTCTAAATGCCTTTTCCCACCCAAGACTGTATTTGGGTATCTGGCCCCCAGGGAAGGGAACAGAGCCCACCTTCCTCCTGGAGATTCCTTTCTTGGTCTTCTCTGCCCACCTCAACCAGCTTCACCTCCCCTTCCCACCCAGACAGCTGAAAGCACACCAGACTTGGGGGAAGATGGATTCAGGCCTCATGGGACTATGCATGAGATGACGGAGGCCCCCCAGGGGGGTGAAGGGGGCTGGGCTGTCAGAGGTGTCTGCGCTCCACTTCCCAGCCCTGGGACCTTGGGCTTGCATCTCCTTGTCTGTAAACTGGCAACAGTGACACCGGCCGTGTCTAGCTCAAGGTTGGGAAGCTTCAACTCAGTGTTTGTAGAAGTGCTTTGAAAACTGCCAGGCACTGTACAAAGGCTGGCTCCTAAACTGTGTCAGCCTGTGCCTGCCTCCGCGTTCAGCCTTGAGTCCAGGGAGTTTCACGAGCGCGTCTGCCGTGTGCTGCTGGCTGGGGCGGGGGCTCACATACGATTGATGACATCTGTGTTTTCAAGGAGTCTCTGACCTGGTCAGCATCATCAGAGAAAGTGGGCTCGATCTGTCAGGGTAGGGGGCTGTCATTTCCCATGTCTGGGTGGTGCAGTGATGTATCAGACCCCAGTCCCAGTAGGCAGTGTGCATCGGAGTGGTGAATACGACTTGGGTGGGGCTTCAGAATGTCTCAGACCTACCTGATCCCTTGGGTGACCACCCTGGAGGAGGACATCGTGGGCCGGAGGGCGGCCTCCCCACCCCGAACACCGTCCCTGGCTGGGATCTGGATGTGTAGCTGGTGACTACAGTGGTGGGGAGTGGAGAATGGGGCAGCATTAAATGCACATGTCCAGGCCATCTGGGGAGGGGAGCTTGGACCCCCACCCCTGGGCACCTACGGGGTGCTCTTCAGGTGGTACCGGCTCCCAAATTGAATCAGGGCTGGACTGTAAGCAACTTACATGAAATGACCTTGTGTTGTCGCCGTTGCCTCCTTGTCTCCCCCAGGCACAGGGCCTGTGCATGGCGGGTGGCCGTGCATGTGGGTGACTGAAGGAAGGAGAGAATGAATGAGTGAAGTGCCTGGAGGGGTTCAGACCCTGTGGGCTCTTCCAGTCTCTCCTGCTACTGTCAGCAACACAGCTCAATGTTCTGCCCCTGGGCGTGGTTTCAAGGGCCCTGGACCCCCTAGGCCACTTCACTCCTCTGCGGGGTGGGTGGTCGCCGTGCCTGGAACACACTTGCCCCTCGTCCACCTGGTGAACTGGCCCTTCAGGACTCGTCGGTGCCGCCACCTTCTCTGGGCTCTGGTGCCCAGCGCCCACCTCCACTTCAGCCTCTGACACCAGCTGTCATCACGGTCCCCAAGCCGTGAGCCCTGGGGCAGGGCCACGTTCTGTTGCTGTGTATCCCAGCACCTCGCACACCTTCCTGTGGTCCCGGCACAAAGAAGGCGCTCAGTGAACGGGAAGAATGAGTGAGTGGGGGAAGAGTGGGGAGTCGGAGGAGGGGGCAGCCTTGGCCAGGCCGAGGGTCTCACCTGGCTCCTCTCATCTGGCCTGAAGGGGAGGCCCTGGGTGAGGCCAGGAGGAGAGGCCCAGAGTGGGAGGAGGAGCAGGAGGGGGAGTGAAGGGCCTGTCTCAGGAATGAGGTTGCAAGGCTGTGTCATTTTTTCCTGTAAATCTTGTAATTTCATGCTCCAGGGGAGCACAGAGTAAGAGAGTCAGTGGGGAGTGAATCCAACTCCCCGGGCCACTCCCCACCAGGAGGCAGCACGGGGCTCCCCCAGCTTCCCCTGGAAACCCCTCTCCTGCTCCTCCCCTCTCCCCTCCAGGAATCTGGGGTGCTTCATCTCCCCACCCTGACCATCTCTCCCCTCTGTGTCGCCTGGGCTAGCCAGCTCCTCCGAGCCATCCTCTTCCCACCTTGCCCCCTGGCCTCTGACCCCTCCAACCTTTTACCCTACCTCCACCTTTGGAGGACAAAGAGCATTTGTCTATCTCGTGTCATTAGACCTGGAGGGGTCACTAAAAGCAAGGCTGGGTTCCTTCCTGATGACCACCTGGACACCTCCCTTCCTCTCCTCACCCTCCCCACTGTCCACAGCCTCTCAGAGCCTTTTAACTCAGAAAGGTCAGATTTCTACTTTCTGAAGTGAATCTTGAGGAGAAGAAATCCTAGGCCACTTCTCTGGGTCTGAGGTCCAGGGGAAGAGTGAGGGGGCGGGGAGACCTAGGATCTGGGCAGCTGGTGCGAGCACGCTAACCTGAACTCCAGGTCTGCGGGGTTCCGTAGATACACCAGTGTGTGTTTAGATGCCATCCTAAGGTAAATGAGATGTAAGGCTCCGGAGAGGCTCAGCTTTTGATGACAGTGAAAGGGCTGGGAAGGGGGATGCGTATATATGCCCGGTACACAGTGGGCGCTCCGTAAGTGTTTGCTGAGTGGCAAGTGTGTGTGAGCGCGTCCATATTCCACCTTACGAGTTTTCGCCTTATCGATGCTTGTGGTGGGGTAGAAGAGGAGAATCCATGTGAGGACAGACAAGTGTGTGTGTGGACAGACGTGCGAGTGAGCCACAGGTGGGCACATTTCATCTCACAGGTGTGGTGGAGGAGGCGAGGGAGAACTGTCAAGAGAGTCATGAGAAGGGAAGGCAGCGGACACTTTGCGAATGCCAACTAAGTGCCAAGTGCTGGTCCTTAATCTACCCTGTGTTTCAGACATGGGTAGTGTCCCAGTTTTGCAGATAAGGAGACTGAAGCCCAGAGATATGGAATAACCTGCCCAAGGTCATACCGCTGGTAAGCGGATTCAAACCCAGGTCTGCCTGATGCCAGAGCCCATGTCCAAGGCCTGGACACAACTGCTCTGGCTCCCACGGAGGTCTTTGAGGAACCTGGATGCAGGCAGGTTTTGTGCTCCTGGAATGTGGGTTCAGGACAGGTCCCCACATCCCCTGCCTCTGAGCCCCCCACTGCCCTGGAGTCGGGGGATGGAGGGCTTGGCTGACCTTACAAAGAACTTCCTGGGCCTCCCTGACCCCTCACTCTCCTACCAGACCTCTCACTGCCCATCTGCACATCTCAGGCCACTGACCGGCCAGCTCAAGATGCTCCTCCTGCAAACTCCACATACTTCCCACTCCTGTGACCCGCCAGCTCACAGTCCAAGCCCAGACCACCACTGTCTGTGGGTTTTTTTTCTTTTCTTTTCTTTTCTTTTTTTTTTTTGGTGAGGAAGATTAGCCCTGAGTTAACATCTGTTGCCAATCCTCCTCTTTTTGCTGAGGAAGATTGGCCCTGGGCTAACATCTGTGCCCATCTTCCTCTACTTTATATGTGGGACGCCTGCCACAGCATGGCTTGATAAGCAGTGCGTAGGTCTATGCCCAGGATCCAAACCTGTGAACCCCGGGCCACCGAGGTGGAGCACACAGACTTAACCACTGTGCCACCAGGCAGACCCCAACCATGGTCCATGTTACTCGAGGATAGTTCAGACAAAACTTTCAGGACTTGATTGAATTCTCCCAGTGCCATGAGGCCCTGCACCCAGACTGCCTGGACTCAGAAAGCCCCACAGTGCTCAGACCCTGAGACTCCACGCTCCCCCCTGACAAGTGAATGCCACTCCCTTAGCCTCCAGACTAACCACTTAGTAAGGCAGCTGGCCTTGGAGCCAGGCTTCCTGGGCTCAGATCCTGGCTCTGACACCTCCTAGCTGTGTGTAGGCAAGTTACTTAACTTCCTGGAGACACAGTTTGCTCATCTGTAAAAGGGGACTGATAATCCCTACCTCACAACCTCATAGGAGAGGATCACATGAGATCTTGCCTGTAAAGTGCAAGCACTTTAGTGCTTGCACTAAATAATACCATCCGCAAATAGTACCATCATAATACCTGAAGTCCATCTGCTGTACTTCTCCCTGGGGTCCTTTTTTGACCACTGACCCTTCATTTGTTGCCCCTGTTGAGTCCCAACAAAACCTCACCGGGTCCCAGAGGAGTCCCTACAGCCTCTGATCCCCAAGGCCTGGCAGCTTCTCTCAGTGATTCCTACCGTTGTCCTTACCCCCAAGGCTAAGTGGACCCTATTACCCTCTCACTCACCCCCAAGACTTTCCACCTTACCTCGATCTCCTCCCCTTTACTACTCCCAAACTCCCCCTGAATCCTAGATCCTGCGTTGACCCTTGACCTCCCACCCAGCCTTTCAGGTTGTGGCTGGATCCTGCAGGCACACTGACTGGCCCCTATCTTGCAGGCTCTCCAGGTGGCCCGGCAGTTCCTGCTGCAGCAGGCCTCGGGCCTGAGCTCCCCGGGCAACAATGACAGCAAGCAGTCAGCCTCCGCTGTGCAGGTGAGGAGCAGGGCGCCCCTCTGGCACTGGGCAGGGCAGGGCAGGTCGGGAGGGTGGGCTTGGCACAGAGGGAGGGGAAGGACCAGTTGGAGAATTGCTCTGGCCAGTCCCAGTGCCAAACAGTGGGCAGCTTTTTCGGGGGAAATGCAGGCCTTGCAGGGGTGAGTGAAGAAACTCCCACTTTCTCTCAGTCACCTGGTCCCCCAGGCCTGCCTCTGCTTAGTCTCTGTCCTCAGAGTTGAGTCTGCACTCAGCTCTGTCTTTCTGAATCTCTCTGCTTGCTCCCTCTTCTCTGGCTCTGCCCTCGGGGTCTCCCCGGCAGTCACTTCTCAGGGCTCTGTTTCTCCATCCCTGTGGGTCACTCAGCCTGTCCCTCTCTGCTCCCTTCCCGCACTGTCTCAGTTGCTGAGGCCGCCACGTCCCCCCTTATCTCTCACCCACCACTCTCTGTCTCCCCACGTTTCCTGTCTCTTGCTGTCTCTCCGTCTCTTTTGTTTTCCTTTGCACAATCTGCCCTTTTCTTCCCCCTCCCGCCCCCCCAGCGTGCCGGCCCATCTGGCTGGCTGGGGGAGGGGAGAGCGGTGGGGGGTGGGCGGGGGTAAGCCAGGCCTTCTGTTTACCTTTTGTGTCACAAAGAACTTGGGAGAATTGCAGTCTGAGGCGGGTGGGTCACCACTCGGGCAGTCTGCTCCCCTCCCCCTTGGCCCAGCAGCCGAGATTCCCGCTCCCCCCACCCCTCTCCACCGCGGGGCCGGGGGAGGCTCGGAATTGGGGAGAGGATTAAGCAGGGCTTTGAAAGGAAGTTTATCTAAGGGAGGAAGGGTGAGCAGGATCCTGAGTGAGAAGCTGTGGAGTCTGGCAGGCGGGGTGCTCAGGGAAGAAGGGAATTGAGGAGGAGGGCGGGCATGGGTGCAGGGTGCTGGGAGAAGGACCCAGGACCAGGCTTTGTCCTGGTCCAGTGCTCTGACTGCGGATCTGGGTTTTATGTAAAACAAGCTTGTGTTCAGAAAGTGCTTTGAAGAAGTTCAAGGTGCCCAACTGTTGTGGGCCTTAGCAGTAGTCCTCTTAAAAGTCTTAAACCTAATGAGACAGCCCTCAAGGAGGGGGAGTTGGGCAAAGAGGGAGAGTGGCCTGAGTGGGGGAGGGGAGGACAAATCTGGAAGGTCGGTAATTGGAAGAAGAGAAAATTCTCGCACTAGCATGATGCAGAAGGTTCTCACCCCATGTGGTGTCAGGACTGGGTCTGTTAGAATTAGGGACCCCGGCACTTACTCCCTGGGTCTGAAGTAGCCCTCGGGCTACTGCTCTGACTCTGTCCCCACCCTGGGCCCAGCCTAGTACCCTCTTCTAAGAACAGGGAGGGGCAGGCTGGGGAGCGGGAATGTTCCCCCGAGTGAGAAAGGTCATGCTGACCCAAGGCAAGAGGGGAGGAGCCTGATGGTAGTTAGAGGGATCTAAGTCAGGTATCAGGGAGGACTTTATAGCTGGGTATGAGGGGTAGGTGATCCCAAATAATTGAGAGAAGAAGGGAGGCGATGGAATCTTCCTTAGAACGAGAGAGATCCCCAGATGGCCTAGGATGAGAGGCAGAGGTTTTGGTCCGAGGGACAGATAAAAACGACCCTTTTCTCAGGCCTTCTCTCTCTTTGCTTCCTCATCTCTCAATAAATGATTGATTCATTCATTCAACAAATACTTGCTCAGTACTTCCACCTAACAGCAAACATCGACAGAGTGCTGAGCACGGAGCAGACACTGAGTGCTTTACAAGTGTCATCTCATTTGACCTTCACAGTCCTATGGGATAGATGCGGGTTACCCTCATTTTGCAGGTGAGGAACTGAGGTCCAGAGAGGAAAAGTAACTTGTCCCAAGTCACACAGCTAAGAAGGGACAGAGCCAGGATTTGAACCCAAACCATAGTAGTGAACACCAGTAGTCCCCAGGTGCAGAGGCCCGGCCGCATGAGTCTCCAGGTTCAGAGAATGGGGGTTCTTGGGGCCATGTCGGAACTTCCCTGGGAGCCTGGAGCCCAGACTGTTGATCCTTCTCCTCCGCCATCCCTGGATACATCCTTGCCTCTCATCCCCACCCTCAAGCTCACAATCTCCAGGAGGTGGGGCTTCTGTCCCCAAGTGGGGTCCAGGGCCTAGAAATGGCTGTTTTGTGAGCGCAAGACTGGGCAGGGGATGAGGAAAGAGAGTAGGAAAGTGCATTTTGCTGAGTTGGAGCTTGAGTGACATGGGTAATGAAGGGGGTCTGTGGCCCCCATGAGACACTGCCCTTCCCAAGTTGAGGCAGGATTGCCTGCCCACTCACCTCCCAGCCGTGTCCACCCCTCTCCTAGAGCCAGCTTCAGAAGAGTTCCTAAAGCCAGATTAGGTCTCGAGCTCCAGCCTAGAGACCGCCTGGTTTGTGCCCCAGCAGGGAGAGGGCAGTCGTGGAAGGCGGTACCGGTAGCTGGGAGTTTGGGCAGGGAGGTGGCTCAGGCTAGGCCCCTTAGCTCTGCCCAGCCTTTGTCTCATCTTCTCAGCCCCCCTGAGGCTTACCCTTCTGCCATTTCTTCTTAGTTCCCACCACTATCCTTCTTGCTGCCGCTCCAGCCGAGAATTAGTCTGAGGACTTCCTTCTGGTCGTTTGCAAGGGAGCTTAACCTAAACCAAGCTCTGGCCTGGTCTCCCCACTCACCCAGGGACCCCAGACCCCATACTCAAGTGGTTGAGTTCAGGTCCTTGATTCTGGCACCAAATGGCATCCATCCTAACCCTCAATGTCAGGCCCCATCCCTGCTCCTCCTCATCAGGCCATCCGGCCCAGCACACTGTATTCATAGTGGGTGGAGGGCCCTGGGCCTGAGCGGGGTCGCTGAGGGCTGGAGGGGGCTGGAGGGGGCTGGAGGCGGCTGTCGGCATCTAGCCCAGGCTCCCATTGCCAGAGCTTCAGTAAGCCTGTAACTACCCTGGCTGCTCTCCAGATGGTGACTCATGGGCCTCACCAAGCTGACTAGCTGACGGTGCCCATCCTGACACATCCCAGCCTGGTGAGGGGTCAGATGAGACACCAGGGGAGCTCCAGCTCAGTTCTCAGACCCCAAGGGGTGTGGGGGAAGGGGGAGGGGGTTGGCCAGCTCAGCAGATGAGCATGTGGCAGCCACCTCATTGACCTTTCCTGACCCCATTGGGCCACCTTAGAGACAAGTACACCCAAGGTGGATTCGTCCAGAGCTCTGCCTCTCCAGCCAGCTGCTCAGCCAATTGGCAGGAACGGCGGGGGCCAGGGCCGCCTTCCAAGGTCATCTCTTCTCTTTCCCTGCCTCCAAGTAGGAAAGCCCCAAGGAAGGAAATGCCACATCCTTTCTCGCATGCCACTCGCAGTGACTCACAGTCCCAGTGCCTGGAAACATCTCCTGGGTGTCTGGTCTCATTCTCCCTGCTGTGGGCCACATCCGTGTCCTCTAGTTCAGTTCTTGCCCTGACGAGAATGAGAGGCCTCGTGCTTTTGTCCTGAGTGACCCTTGTCACGCAGTGCCTTCTGGGGCCCCTGACGAGCCTCAGGTGCAACAGTGGAGAAGGGAGAGGGGAAGAGAATAGAAAAGGGAAGAGGAAAATCCAGAATGTTTTCAAAAGTAATTTTCCATACATTTGTATAGAATTGAGGCATACAAATCACTTTCACTGACCCTCCTCCTGTCATCCCTTTGAGGGCAGGCAGGTTATTTAACTTCTCCTGGCCTCAGTTTTCTCATTTGTAAAGTGGCAACAATGATACCCTCTTCCTGGGTGGCTGTGAGGATTCAGGGAGATAATGCACACAGAGGGCTTAGCCAAGTGCCTGGTGCGTCATCAGCAGTCATCAGCATTCAGCAGCATCCTCTGTGGATGAGGGGACGAGGGAGGGCAGGGGTTCCAAACTCAGCGCATGGAGAAAGTGAGGCTTGGTGACGAGTCAGTGTCGGGGACAAGAACCTAGGTGGCCTGACTCAGAGATCCAGGACTCTGAGCTCAGCACCACTGTGTTGGGCGCCCCCCTCGGAGGAGGAAAGCAAGGACAGGTGAGCAGCTGCCCGGCTGCCTTGGGGGCACCCGACAAGGACACAGGGGCTGGCTCTGCAGGGGGGTGGGTCTGTGCCATTTTCTGCCTCCCACCCCAGACCTCCGAGAGTGCTGACGGGAACACCCCGGCAGCCTGGCTTTCCAGAGTCTCCCCGGGGTACATTGTTAAGAGGGAGGTTGGTCTTTGGGGTCTCCAGCCTCCTCTCCGGCCCCTCCAGCTCCCTGGGTGGTTCCGTGTCCACACTCTCCCTAATCCTTCTCAAGACCTGCTCTGGGGCGGGGCAGGCAGTGTGAGACGTGGAAACACCGGGAACCTGGGCACGCAGATCTGGGCTTGAATCCCAGCCCTGCCGCTAAAGGCTCCTCATTAGAGACCCTCGGAGCCTTTGCCTCCATTCACATGGTACACCCATGGCCAAAAAGCTGGGTTGTGCCCTTCTCGGGGACGTTTGCACAGAGATGGCAGAGGTAAAGGAGGAAAGCCCAGGACTGGGGCTTGGCCCGTAGTTATGGGGGCAAGAAGAGTTGGGGGCAGTGGGACTCCCTCATGTCCTTGGATCCACTGCACCCCCCGTTGCTCCTCTGCCTGGGGATTCCCCAAGTGGTGGCTCGAAGCTGAGTCCTGCCCCAGCCAGGGATCTGGAGGGGAACCAACTCCTCCTCCCGTGCCCCACGCCCCAGGCTGGGGGAGGTTGACAGGGGCCACAAGTCCCCTGGAGACCTAACCTGTCACGTTCCGCCCAGGACAAGTCCCTGCAGGACGCCCCTCCCTCCCTGCCCCAGAGCTGGCAGAGGGGCCTCTGATCTGCTGGGGAAAGTATTTCAGCTTAGGAAAGCAGACACTTAGTGAGTGCCTGCTGTGTGCTGGGCGCCTGGAAGTAAGAAGGGGGTTAGAGAAGAGTGTGCACACAGGGCAGAGTGGTGGGGGTGGCAGAGAGCCCCATTAGGGCACCTGTTCTGCTAAAACGGGGACAAGATGGCATTGCAACTTGGGTCTCCCTGGCTGTGACTGCACCAGCCTGGGGGGTTCAGGGGAGGTGGGGCTGGGAAAAGAATGATGTTACTGCTTTTCCCTGAACCTTTTGTCTTTAGCTAGATTCTCTGGGCCTCCTGTAGAGGCCTAACCCAGGGCAGGGGCCAGAGAGCTGCTCTACTTTGAGAATCCTGCATGTTGCAGCTGGAAGGAGTCATCTTTTGTAGTCTAATCCCTGTTTTATGTTTGAAGAAACTGACATTCCAGAGAGGGCAAGTGACTTGCTGGAGGTCACACAGCAAGTTCAGTGCAGAGCTTAGAATAGAAGCCCCCCTTCTAACTCCCTGCCTGGTGTTCTTTCCACCGCACTGCAGACATAACTGAACCTACACACACTCTCACACACCCAAGGATGGCACTGACAGCGCTCCCTGGGCTTCAGTTCTGGGCCTCTGTGTGTGCCATCTAGACAGGTGTGCTGGAGTATATGAGTCCAGGTCCTCCTGCCACACGGGCCTCTTTTTCAATCCTTCCCATGCCTGCAGATGGCCCTCCTGGCCGGGCCCACCCTGTAGACAGTGTTCTCAGAGTAGATGAGCAAGAGTTGGGAATCGCTAGTGGCTGCCACTCCCCATCCCTAGGGGAGAAACCCTCCAAAGCCTGAGTTCTGCTGAGCAGTGTCACTCGGGTCTAATCTTCCTGCCCTGAAGATAGCGCCCCCCACAGTAATAGCCAGCCCCGTGCACTTGCTGTGTGTCAGGCTCCGTTCTAAGGATTAGCTCAGTAATCCTCACGATAACCTGAAGAGGTGGGCACTGTCGCTACTTCCATTTCAGAGACGGGAAAACAGGGAACAGGGAGGTAAGTCACTTGTCCCAGGACACCAAGCTTGTCGGTGGCAGAGCCAGAACTTGAACCCAGGCAGCCTCACCGCGGAGCCGCTCTGCTGTCCTGTGGGTGGGGCCTTGGGCGCACGCCCTCCCCGGGGCGGGGTTGAGGTGAGCAGGCTAACAGGGCCGATCCCACAGGTGCCCATGTCGGTGGCCATGATGTCGCCGCAGATGCTTACCCCCCAACAGATGCAGCAGATCCTGTCCCCGCCACAACTGCAGGCCCTGCTCCAGCAGCAGCAGGCGCTCATGCTCCAGCAGGTGAGTCTGGCCCCAGGGCAGCTGAGAAGTCAGGGAAAGGAGGGCGGGTGGGGGCAGGCTCCCACCTTCCCCCTGTTTACTGCCAACACCACTGAGGGCCAAAGCACCGCAGAAACCAGAGAGACTGCTCAGGCCAGACTGGTCTGCATTCCTCCGGGGCAGCTGGGGAGAGATCAGAGGTCAGGCTTCTCCCCCAGCAGCCTCCCCATCCTCCCTCCCTGGGTGCGGGGCCCCTCTATCTCCAGAACCCCAGAGAAGGGCAAAGTCCTGGAACATCCTGGCATCTTGTAGTGACCTATTCAGGGGACTCACCAAGAGGCAGAGAGGGCTCGGGGGTGTGGGATGAAGCCCCACTCCCTCCCCGTGCAGTGCGGACCCTGCTCAGGGAACCTCAGAGCAGCCTGGGGAGAGTGGATGTCTCCCTGCCCGGCCACAGGGAGACTCCCCACTCCTGCCTCCGGAGCCCAGTCGCGATGGGGCTGGGGTGGCTCTGTGGTCAGCCGTCGGCTGCCCGTGGTCACCTGCTCCCACTCCCGCCTCCTGCACCCCTCCCGCCCAGCTGCAGGAATACTACAAGAAGCAGCAAGAGCAGCTCCATCTGCAGCTCCTCACCCAACAGCAGGCTGGGAAGCAGCAACCCAAAGAGGTGAGGGCCCGTGCCCTGCGGCCCAGCCCAGTTCCGCCAGAGCCTGAGAGCCCCAGGGTGGTCAGGAGAGAGTCGCCTTGTGGGAATAGTGGACCAGTCAGGAAGAGGCCGGGGGAGGGGGTCAGGGAGCACGGGGAGAGGGGGACGGGGCCCCCATTTCTCCACCCCCCCTCATCCCCACTCAGTCCTCTCCTTGCCTGTGTTGGATTAAGGAGAGCAGGAAAGCGCAGCCCTGTGCTGTCTCGGCACATGCGTGTAGACACGTGTCTGAGTGAGCGTCGCACGGTCCACTCTCGTGACCAGCTGCCTCGGGTCGTGCCCTCTTCCTGCCCACTCGTCTCTTAGCGACCCAGCACCTCAGCCCTCCACTCTGGTCATGAGAATCTCAGTCTCTCAGCAAACCACACTCCTCCCCAGCCCTGCCCCCTCCAGAGAACTCCCCAGCCTACACCCCATGTCTCATCTGGGCCACAGTGCCTTCTGAGCTTCCCTGCTATGGCCCAGACACGCGCCTCCCTCCTGCTGGCCAACCACAGCCCAGTTCTGAGTCGCCTCTTCCCAGAAGGCTGCCCTGCTGACAGCCAGTCATTCCCCTGTGCCTTCAGCCTCCCCCTCAACTTATAGTTGGTGCATTCTCAGCATTATCTCTAAGCTGAGTTTACTGAATAGCCAGCCCCCCACCCCACCCCACCCCCGGGGCAGGCAGGCAGGCAGGCAGAGACAGCCCTGCCTCCCAAGCACCCAGGACACGCTTGGCTCCTGGGGCTCAGAACACTTGCTGACAGCCTGACTTGTCAGTGCCTGTGTGAAGAGCTGAATTTGGAGGGGAAGGGGGCAGGGGCCAGAGCAAGACAGAGGGAGAGAACGGGAGACTGAGAGCAGACGAGGGCGCCTGTGCCCCGGCGGTAGCCATGTGCCCGTTCCCTGAGCCTGGCCCTGATGACCAGCTGATGCTGACCTGTTCAAGTCGGTTGGACTGCTTGATTCTCCGTATCTAAGAAGCAAGAGAGGAAAGGAGCTGGAGGGGAGAAGGCCCCCTCCTCAGAGCGGGAGGGGGGCTCCCCGGGCATGTGGGAAGGGTGCCTGCCAGGCGGGAGTGGCCCCTGAGTCTGACAGGCTCATCGATCATTGAGATGAGCCCCCCCCACCAGGCGCGCACAGCTGCGGTGCGGGAGCTGGAGCAGCCGAAGGAGGGAGGCGGGAGCAGGGACGGCGTCGTGCTGCGTGTCTGGGTCTGGCTGTGTGTGTTTGCGCGCGTGCGTGCATGCGTGTGTTTACTGCGAGGAGGCATGCAGCCCTATGGAAGCTGGGCCGGGAGCAGAGACGCTGCAGCCGCAGACGCCGCCACGACAGCTCCAACAGCTCCGGGGGCTGACAGGCCCTGGGAGGGGGTGGCCGCAGGCTGGGGGCCAGATGGCACGCCGGAGGCTGATGGCACCCCTCTCTGCCCACCCCCTCGGGCCCCCCACCAGGCACTGGGGAACAAACAGCTGGCCTTCCAGCAGCAGCTTCTGCAGATGCAACAGCTGCAGCAGCAGCACCTGCTCAACCTGCAGAGACAGGGGCTGGTCAGCCTGCAGCCCAGCCAAGCCTCAGGGCCCCTGCAGACCCTCCCGCAAGGTGAGTGGCCCGCCCCCTCCCGGACCCACGGCCCTCCCTGTACCCGGGGGTGAGCAGCCCCTGCTCCAGGGCCAGGTAGGGGGCCCTGCCAGCTTCCCACCTGCCTCTCTCCTGCAGCAGCCGTGTGCCCAACGGACCTGCCCCAGCTGTGGAAGGGCGAGGGGGCCCCTGGGCAGCCCGCCGAGGACAGCGTCAAGCAGGAGGGGCTGGACCTCACCGGCACGGCCACCACCGCTACCTCGTTCGCCGCCCCCCCCAAAGTCTCACCCCCCCTCTCCCACCACACCCTGGCCAACGGACAGCCCACTGTGCTCACACCTCGGAGAGACAGGTACACGGCCCAGGCTTGGAGGGGGTGCTGCCGACCTGCCCGAGGGCACACCTGGACCCCTAGGGAGGACACCCGTGGTGGGGGCTGGGAGAGGGGCCGGAGCCCAGGGACCCGGAAAGTTTACCGCTTTCCCAGGGCACAGAGAACTGTGCTTGGGCTCTGGGAAACCTGTATTAGGGACAGAAACGTCACCAGCAGGGGAGCTGGGGCTGAGCTGGGCCCCCCCGGCTGCTGCCGTGTTCAGGGTCCCTGACCACCGCCTCCTCCTGTCCTCCTAGCTCCTCCCACGAGGAGACCCCCGCCTCCCACCCCCTCTACGGACACGGAGAGTGCAAGTGGCCAGGCTGTGAGACCCTGTGTGAAGACCTGGGCCAGTTTATCAAGTAGGTGTCCCCCTCACTCTCCTTTCTCCCCAGCCTACCCCTGCCAGCCTTTCCACAGGGCACCTCCCCCCCAGCTTGCCCCTTCTGGGCCTTCGGCCACCAGCTGTCCTGCTGTCCTCTCCCCAGGGAGGGCCTCGTTCCTCCTCTGCCTCTGGTCACTCCCACCCCTGTCCGCAGTCTATATTCCCAGGCCTGTAGCTTCCCCACCTGTCCCCAGGCTGTTGAAGCCCAGCAGGTGGGGGTGTGAGAAGGAGAGGACTCCCCCTCCGCCCTCCCCAGCTTCTCCCAGACTCAGCCCCAGAGAGTGATGGCCTGGTGACGGCCAGAGGCCGGCCCACAGGCAGGGCAGGAGGCGGCCAGCTGCCACGGCGGTGCCAGGCTCTGTCACTGACTGATTAACTCCGCTGTCTCCGGACCCTGGCAGCATCAGGGTCAAACAAATTGTTTTCACGCTTCGTCAGAGGTTTACTTAATTAGTTCACTTGCAATTAGATCTCTCTGTAGCTGGGATTTTAGCAAAGACATCAAAGGAGACTGAAGAGAAGGCAAGAAGGCGGCTTGCCCTGTTTTTTTCCCACCTCTTTCCCTTCTTTGTATCTCTTGGTCTGTCTGCTTTCTAGGCGGAGGGCTGGATTAGAGGAGGGGACGGGAGGGTGGGGACAGCAGGAAAACCAGGCCTTACCTTCTCCTCTCCACCCCTCCCGCCTTGAAGACACCTCCACACGGAGCATGCCCTGGACGACCGCAGCACGGCCCAGTGCCGCGTGCAGATGCAGGTGGTGCAGCAGCTGGAGATCCAGGTGTGGGCCGGGCCGTGGGGGCGGGGCGGCGGGCGCTGGCCCCGCCTACAGCGCTGACTTTCCAGGAGGGGTCAGGAGGTCTCATGGAAGGGTCGTCTTATGCTTTCTAGGTCCTAATTACCATGGTCGTGAGGTATGGGCAGCTGGATTCTGAGGGAGACCGAGGTCGGGGGCGTGTCTGCTGGGAGGTCCGGAAGAGACTCATACTAATAAAAACAACGAAAATAATATTAACAGCTAACATTGAGCACTTTGTGCTGTACTAAATACTTGACCTCTGTAAGTCAAGGAATCCTATTAATCCTATATGGTGGATACTAGTATTATCCACATTCTGTAGATAGAGAACACAGGCACAGAGAGGTCAAGGAACTGGCCTCCGATCACTCAGCTAGTGGGTGGCAGGGCTGGGATTAGAACCTAGGCAGTCTGGCCTCCTCCGAGTCTGAGCTCTATAGCACGACATACTCAGGAGGCTACTCAGGACAGGCTGTCAGGCAGCCAATTAATACTTACCCGTTTCCCTCTGGCACCTGCTGTGAGAGGGTAGATGTGAACAGTCTATTGAATTGATGAATGGGGGTGAATGAATCATTCATCCAGTCCTGCACTCCATTCAGTGTGTGAGGACCCTTTCAGGCACAAGTGCCACTGAACTTGGGTGGTGGTCTGCCACAGCCTCTGCCCTTGCTGGGGAGAAAAGGCGTGTGTTGTTAGGAAGGAGGCCCTGACTTGTAGCTGCTGTGATGAACTTGAGCCTGGGACACTTGGTCTGGAGGAGAAGCAGGGAGGGCTTCACGGGGTAGGCTGCCCCCTGGTCCTGGCCTTGATGGTTGATGGTACAAGGGGCCAGAGGGGCAGAGAAGAGCCGAGGGCTTCCAGGTACAGGGGACAGAGAGAGGGAGCCGGCGTGCCGAGGAAGGGAGGCAAGTGGTGGTGGGAATGGGGGCTTTCTGGGGAGTCTGGTGGGGAGAGCTGGGATGTGGAGGAGGAAGAGGTCCCGGCTGCCTCTGAGGCAGGGGTGAAGCCCCTGCTCACCTGCTGCCTCTCCACAGCTCGCCAAGGAGAGCGAGCGGCTGCAGGCCATGATGGCCCACCTGCACATGCGGCCTTCGGAGCCCAAGCCCTTCAGCCAGCCAGTGAGTGACTCTCCCTTGCCTTTGGCCCTCCCCAAACCCCTCTACAGCCCCCTGGAGCCTGGGGACCCCCACCCTCCAGTGCTGGTCTCAGCCCCCTCCCCGTTGCTCACAGCTGAACCCGGTCCCCGGCTCCTCCTCATTCTCCAAGGTGACCATCTCCGCAGCAGACTCGTTCCCAGATGGTCTCGTGCACCCCCCCACCTCGGCCGCCGCCCCTGTCACCCCTCTACGGCCCCCTGGCCTCAGCTCTGCCTCCCTGCACAGCGGGGGCCCCGCCCGCCGGAGGAGCAGCGACAAGTTCTGCTCCCCCATCTCCTCAGGTAAGGGCCAAGGGGAGGGGCGTTTTCTTCCCCCAAGCTCCGCCCCCCATCCGGCTCCTTCATTCTTTGCCTGTCTCCCCCAGAGCTGGCCCAGAATCATGAGTTCTACAAGAACGCTGACGTCAGGCCGCCCTTCACCTACGCCTCCCTCATCCGCCAGGTGAGCATGCAGGTGGACGGAGGGGTGCGGATGGCCACAGGCTGCCTCCCCAGCCCTCATGCGCCCTGACTTCAGGGTCCCAGTCTCCCGAGGGTCCCGGGGCCAGAGGAGATGACTTGCCCTCTCACGTCTGTCCTCTCCCCTCACACGTCCTTTCCTTCTCAGCCGCACAGTCTCTCTCACAGGCTGCAGCTTGTAGCACAGACGGGTCTCTGGGAGACACACTATTTTTTGCCATTCAACACCCACTGTGTCATTCATTTGCTCATTTCCATGTACACACACTTTCCCACGAGGCTATTTTCTGATAGACTTATGGTCGCTCTTAGTCTGCCTCCTTCTTTCTCTCACACACACACACACACACACACACACACACCCCCACCCACCCCTCTCCTCCCTTCCTCGTGTCCTTGGTGCTCATGTAATAGTCACTCTCACATATGAACATACATTTACATGTACGTCCTCTCACTCTGATCTCCCCACACAGAGGGACACAGCCTCACACCTATTCTCATACACACACATCCCTGTCTCATGCTTACAGTGCCTTTTGCCAGAAACAGGATAAATTCCATCAGCCCCGCCCCTGGACATCTCGCTCCCAAGAATACTGCTTTCGTTCCCACTCTAGGGCAGGGGCACTTGGAGCCATTTTCCCCCCAGAAGAAATTCATGTGTCTCTCGCACAAGCATATAGTCCTTGAGGCTCATGTACCCTTTGGCCTCTGGCTGGGCTGTAACCAGTCTGCCCCTCAGGGATCAGCGAGCACCCACCAGTCCTCTCATCCACACGCTTCTGAGCAGGTCTCCTCTGCTCTCAGGGTGAGGTGGGGACCAGGCAGAGGAGAGATCCTGGGGGAGAGAACACAGGCCTCTGACCCTTCGAGGCCCAGACTGAGGGTCCCTTGGCTTCTTCCTTGCCCACAGGCCATTCTGGAAACCCCCGACAGGCAGCTGACCCTAAATGAGATCTATAACTGGTTCACCAGGATGTTCGCCTATTTCCGGAGAAACACTGCCACCTGGAAGGTGAGGCGTGCCCTTTCCTCCTCACCCAAGGCCCCAGTCACCCTTGGACATCTCCACATCCCATTGAAACCAAGGCTGCCTAATAATTAGTCCTCTCCGAGAGGCGGTTCTACAGAAATGGCCCCACCAGGGCCCAGGCTGAGACATGGGGCCCTCCACCCCACCTCAGCAGGGGCTGTGGAATGTTCTCTAACCGCCTTTCAATGACCCCTTCCCTCCAGCCTTGTGCTGCCTTCTCTCTGGGAGGAAGCCCTCTTGTTCTCAGAAGTGCTCCGCATGGGCCCCAAAGACTCCAGCCCCATGAAGTAGGGTGTCCAGGAGTCGGTAATGCCGGAGCCTGGTGGGGAGGCCTGGGTTCCATTCACAAGAGACCCTAAGGGTCCAGGTACCTTGGCTAAAGGTGCATGTTCTGAAGCCTGGGGTGGGAGTAGGGGGTGTGCAGGCCCAGATACATGCATGGACCAAGGCCCTTGGGCTAGACACTGGGTCACAAACATAGGCACTCACACACACTCTCTGGCTCTGCCATCGGTGGCAGGAAGATAATTGTCTTCATCTAATTAGTCATTTCAACATCTTCAGCCATATGAGTTTTCCTGGGGGACCGGTGGCAGGCAAGGGAGGGACCCTAGAAAAATGGGACACGGAGATGCGGGCTGGGGCGCTAAGCCATTTGTTTCTCGGTAGCCAAGATGGGTGTGTGTGTGTGTGTGTGTGTGTGTGTGTGTGTGTGTGTCTGTCTGTTTCTGTCTGTCTGTCTGTCTCTGTCTCTGATGGATAAGAATATTAGGGTCTGTGCAGCAGGGTGGGAAAGCAATATCTAAATTGGGAGGGGGTGGGGGAAGGAGAAGGGAGTGTTGGCGCCCTGTGGGGAAAAGTTAGACATCAGGGAAGGCGTCCCTGTCTCAGAACCTTAATTGGATTTCTGGCTCTTGAGTCCCCCTGCTGGCAAGTGCAGAAACTGCAGTTAAACAGGCTACTTCCCCTCCTCCCACCGGGTTTCAACAAGTGTCACTGAGGCCCCCTCCCCACCAGTGCCTGGGACTGGGTGGGGTCTGCACAGAGCCTAGCCTTCTCTGCCCCGGGAATGTGCTAAATGCAGCAGGTGGGACTGCTCTATGACCGTCCGTATCCCCATGCCCAATTCCCAAAGCTGAGGGAGAGGCTGCGAGGCTGAGACAGCTGCTCTGATTGGCTGTGAGTGATGTCATTTCCTGCCAACCACAGTCCTGCCCTCTCTCTGCGCCTGCAGGGCCTTCTTGGGACCACCTGGTCCAGTCTCCAACCTCCAGGCCAGTTTGGATACCAGGTTTTATAAATGATAGAGTGCCATACAAACGTTAGGGGTCATCACAACCAGTATCTGATGTTTACGTTAACACTGCAGCTTCATCCTCTGCCTTTAGGGGTGACAGTATAGAGCCTGACTTCCGTAAGACGACCTCCTCCTTGGGGGCAGGACCACTCACCCACCTACCCTGCTGTCCTGTTCTCTCTTAACTGTACACCCCACTGCAATTTCTCTCCTTCCTTAAGGTCAGGGGAGCTGGTTTGGGTGACTTCCTTAAACCTCTCAGTGACCACCATGAAGCCACCCCTCCCATAGCCCAGCCCCCTTTCCCTTCCACACCACCTTCCACTGGCTGCCCAGGCTTGGTCATCTGAGTGGTGCATCTCTCCCTCCCTGCTCCTCTTCCATCTCCCCTCACCTGGTCCAAGTCCCAACAGGAAGCCGGCTGAATGCTGCTTCCAGCACTTGGGGCCTTGCCTGTGCCCGCCCCATGGCACAGCAGAATCTGTCTCAGCTTGAGGTCCACTGACCTTCAGGAGTTTGGCAGCCAAGCTTCATTGATGTGACTTGGGAAATGCACCTGGTCCACACCCAGCTCTCTTTCCCTTCCACCTCGAGTTTCCACGCATTTATCTGCCCTTGGAGGTCCCTCCTCTTCTCCTCAGCTATGTCAGCTTCCTTCTCTCCCTCATCCTTCACCCTTTCTGGCCCCGACCCTGAGATGCTGTCCACTTCAGACCAGGGCAGAGAGGTCGGGAGCCGGCGTGGGCTGGGCCAGCTGCTGTTCATCCGGGGACCCTGCTGCCATCTGCCAAGCTGACGGTCCTCGCCAGCCCTCCGTCGTGTCCCTCCCTCGCAGGGCCGATGTTGTGGGCCCGTCCTTTTGTTTACGCAGCCCCCGCCAGACCCCTTAAATTGCCGTTAATGTTTCAGCGTAACGAATTAGTCTCTCATCACGAATCAGGCTTCGAAATGAGGGAAAAAAGCCCCAGTGAGGCCATCCTCGGAAATTGGGGTCATTCTCATTTGCAAAGCGGAGGATCGGAGCCCCGTAATGCGGGCAAATTTATTCCAAGGCAGGAGCCCCGGCGTGATTAGGCCCTTTGTAATTATCGCTCCAAGAGATTCCACTCCAGCCGCCCGCCTCCCTCGTGGATTAGCGAGCGAGTCGGAAAAATACACAGGATTTAATTAGAGGCAAATTAAAATTGGTAATGAAATCGGGCCAGTTGCAAGTGGCAAGAGTTGGAAGGGAGAGAGGGAGAGGGGATCTCCAGGGGCACGAGCTGCTGCCCTGCCTGCTTTCTTCCCCGTTTAGAAATGTAACGAGGAGACAAGGATGGGGACGAGGGGGAGGCTGAGAGAGGAGAGTGCAGGGGCAGGACTGAGGAACCTAGAGAGAGGGTAGTGGGTGGATTGGGGCCCTCGGCCAGGCTCCCGGGGGGGGAATTGGGCCAAGCACCCCCACCCTCACTAGAGTGTCCTACAAACCAGATGACCTCAATTCCTGAAGCTATCCTGCCAGGAGGAGGTGGGAGCAACCAGGTGACTTTTCCTCTTTTCTCTCCTCTTCCTGCCTTACAGCTGCTAAACCCACACTCTCCTCTCTCCCAGTTTATTTATTTCAACAAGTATGTATTAGGCCTCTATTGTATACCTCATGCTCTCAATAAGCTGTCTGTTCTGAGCCACAGCTCATAGTCACAGCTCCCACACTCCTAGGGGTCGAGGAAGGTCGCGGTGAGGGTTCCCGTGTTATTTAATGGAAATTCTACGTGCACCTGAGATAGGAGTCCCAGGCTTCCTGAGGTGCCAGGGCCCCAGTGTGATGTGCCGATCAGAAGGCCCGGGTAACAGCTACCTGTGTCAGATTAGTGATGGTGGGAAAGCAAATTATTACAGATACTGTTTAGTTGGTAGACAAGAGTTTTCCACAGTGTGGCAGGGAGAAGGGGAGCAGAGGTAAATGGGCTGTTGCTGGTGAAGACACTGGGAGCCCCTGGCTCCAAGGGTGGGTGGGGGCCGTCCTTCCTCTCTTGCTGCGTCTCCTCCCTGCTCATCCCTGGGCCGGGAAGGTGAGACCTTCCGGGGGGAGGGGAGAGGACACGGGACACGAGGACTTTCCTGTATGTGCTCACCCGGGCGGAGGAGGGCCGAGCGAGCCGCCTCTGAGGATCTGCCCCTCGTCACTGTGCCCCCAGAATGCCGTGCGACACAACCTCAGCCTGCACAAGTGCTTCGTGCGAGTGGAGAACGTCAAGGGCGCCGTGTGGACCGTGGACGAGCGGGAGTATCAGAAGCGGAGACCGCCAAAGATGACCGGGTACGTGGGCCCAGACTTGGGCAGGGGCAGCCGCCCGTGGTGTGGGCCGGGGCACCCCCGCACACCAAATCCTTCCCACTTTGGGGTGGGGCCGGGAGAAAAGGGGAGGAGCCCAGGGGAGACGGGAACCTGGAAGTGACAGATGAGTAGAGAGAAGACACTTATGTCTTGTTCTGACTGAGGGAAGGAGCTGAGGGGGACCTGGCACCAGAGGGAGACAGAACCCAAAGTAGCCATGGCTGGAGCTGGGACAGGGGCAGATGCCAGCCAATGTGGCGGTTGGTGAGGGAGCTGCCATCCCCAGAGCCGCTCGCCCCCATCTTATCACCAGATGAGCCAGCCTCTGAGATCCCTAGGCCCCACCTCTTCATTTTACCGGGAGAGGAGGCCCAGAGAGGGCAAGGGTGGTCACACAGCAAATTCGTGCAGAGCTGGGTCTCTGACCTCCCATCTTTTGTGTTCTGCTCTACCATACAGCATTTTCAGTGGAAACTGAGGAACCTGGGTTGGAGGAGGGTCAAAACCTCCTCTTTTGGCTTTCCTTCTAGTCCAGGGGCCTTCTCCCCACCCCAAGCATCCTCCACACAGGCCACCCTCTGGCCTGTGCCTCTTGGGCCAGAGGCCTCTGGGGAGGGGGAGAGAGGTCTGAAGCAAGCTAGATGGATATCTCTGTGGGTGCCTTTTCCCCTCAAAGATTCCCTTTCCCCCGACAAGAGCTTCCCCTCCCCTGGGAAATTGTGAGGGCTGGGGCAGGGTTGGTGCCTGGGAAAGGGAGAAAAAGCCACCCACTCTGAGTGTCCCCACATGCCAGTCACAACACTAGGTAACTTCATGTCTCTTCATGAAGGTGGAATCAGAAGACCTGGGTTCAGGTTACACTTCTACTTCTCACCAACTGTGTGACCTTGGGTTAATTCCTTAACCTCTCTGAGACGCTCTGTAAACTGACAGTCATCACTGTGGAAGAGGGACAGCCTTGAGCCATTGCTTTTCCTGACCCAACCCCTGAATACCTTCTTGTGCAGAAAAGCCTCTGGGATGGAGCATGTGGGGACAGGCTGAACACATGGCTTATTAGATGTCCCAAAATTCAGGATGGCCAGGTGTGGATTTTACAGATACTGGACTATAGAGGCTCTAGCTCGGACCTTGCTGAACACTGGAAAGTCTAGACTGAAGAGAAGAAGTGCGGGAGCAGCATGATGTGAAGGCAGGCATGGGAGGGTCCCTGTTCCCACTACCAGCTCTGAGAGGTTGGGCATGTTCCAGAGTCCGTGAGAGCCCCGCACCTCCCCTTGGAAGGGGCTGTCGGTACCTGCTGTGCCAGGTCAGCGTGAGGACTAAGATGGGGTGCACAGGCCCAGCAGACGGGGCCAACCCTACTCTGGCTCCCAGGATAATGAACGGGCCAGTTCCTGGCACGGAGCAGGCCCTTAGTCAGGGTCAAGGTGAGAAGGAGGAGTATGTGAGTGAGTGAACCCAACACTGCCTCCTCTCCTCCAGGAGCCCCACCCTGGTGAAGAACATGATCTCAGGCCTCAGTTATGGAGCACTTAACGCCAGCTACCAGGTGACGGGGCCCCGCGCACAGCCCACCTGCTCCCCTCTACCTCCTGCCCCCTCAATTGCCCTCCTGCATACACTGGCCTCTAGAAGAGACTCCCCCACTGCCCCACTCCATGGGCCCATCTGCCAGAGGGGGTGGGGGAGGTGGGAAGGAGGGTGGAGACCACTCTGTGTGACCAAAACCCCAACCCTCTGCTGCACTCTGCCTCAGGGCCCAGCCCCCACCTCTGGTTTCAAAGCTGGGTTTGGGCAGGGCAGGGTTGGGCAGAGAGAAGACAGGCTGGCATAACCAATGGGGTCCCCTTCCCTGGTTTGTCAGTCTGGAGGTCTTCTGTCTCCTGGGCAAGGGGGTAAGTCAGGCGCGGGTTCCCAGGAAAGCAGGTCAGAGTCAGAGCTCTGGCCTGGGGAGGGTGCTGTGTTCAAAAGGCTGAGCCTGGGCTGGGGGTGGTGCCAAGAGAGACCTGCCAGCTGGGCCAGCACACAGACACACAGGAGGCTCTCTAGGGGGTGGGGACGCACCTGACTGGGTGGAGCCCACTGACAGGCGCCAACCCTGTGCCCTCCAGGCTGCCCTGGCCGAGAGCAGCTTCCCCCTCCTCAACAGCCCTGGCATGCTGAACCCTGGTTCTGCCAGCAGCCTCCTGCCCCTCAGCCATGACGATGTGGGCGCCCCCGTGGAGCCGCTGCCCAGCAACGGCAGCAGCAGCCCCCCTCGGCTGTCCCCACCCCAATACAGGTGAGCACCCAGCATGGACCCCATGCTCAGGGATGGTGGGATCCTGGGGAGGCGAGCTGTGGACACCCCACCGGGCCCCCAAATTGTGGATGCATTTAGAGGGCAGAGGAAAGCCCCCAGGGTGCCCACGCGCCCCCTCCCGTCGCAGCCACCAGGTGCAGGTGAAAGAGGAGCCGGCGGAGGCGGAGGACGACAGGCGGCCGGGCCCGGCCCTGGGGGCCCCCAACCCCAGCACCTCGGGGCCTCCGGAAGACAGGGACCTGGAGGAGGAGCTGCCGGGAGAGGAGCTGTCCTAAGGGCCTCCAGGGGCAGGCAGGGCAGGGGTGAGACCCCTCCCTTCCGGAAGCCAGGCCCCACCTACCCCCACTCCACAGCCCCGCCCAAACCTCAAGGCACTTCCAGGACTCAGATGGGGGCCGGGCCAGCAACGCCCGCTCTGACCTGACTGACAGACGCTCGGGGGCAGGGATGGTCCCGCCCCCGAGAGGACACAGAACCCCTGGTCTGGGACCAGCAGAGGACACGGAGGGCCCAGACCCCTCCTCAGACCCTTCCCGACATCTGAATACCGTCTCCCCCCCAACCACCAGCAGCAGCAGGGCCCTCCTCCCCCACCAGCTGTCCCCTCGGGGCCCCTCAGCGCCATGGAGACCCGCAGGCGGGGCAAAGCCACCTCTCAGACCCAGGGCCTCTCGCACCTGGCTCCGGCAGTGATTTTTGGCCAGAGGCCCCCCCTTCCCTCATTTGTGCTCCCATTCACCGTCTTTTCTGTACTGTGAAGAAATAACTCTCCACCTCTAACTCCGGCCCCCGCCCCGGCCTAGATGGGGGGACTGAAGTTTCAGACCACCCCCCAGAGAAACCAGCCCCCTCAGCTGTGCCCACTCAGAAGCCACAGCTGAGGTGGGACAGGTTGTCCCTGTGGGGGGTCCGTGGGAGCAGGACAGCCAGGCTCCAGCCCCTCCCCCCATCGCTGAAGTGGGCCTCCACCCTCTGTGCTGGGTGCTTCTCCGGCTGCCCCCACTCCAGGGGGCACAGGAAGAGGCCCAGTGCCAGCCCTCCACAGAGAGGTCTGTGCCAAGTGGGCTTCTGGAGGTGGAGCTGATGGGAGCCAAGGTACCCTTGAGGCTGGAGCTGGGGCCAGAGGTGGCGCCCAGCTGCAGCACCCTGTGTCTGTCGCGGGGAAAGGCCAGGCTGAAACCAGGCTGAGGGGCAGGTGAGATTAATATGGTGGCTGCTGTGACCCAACAGGTCAGCCCTGCCCCCAGCCTACAGGTCCCCCTTGCAGTCCTCCCTCACCCTCCCTCAGCACCCAGTCCCTGTCCCCCCAGTTAAACGGATGACCAAAGACCTTTCTTATGCCGGAAGCAGAAACCAAAACTTTTTGTTGGCTTTTTCCTTTGTCGCCTCCCGCAGCCCCCGCTCCCACCCCAGCCCCAGGCTGGAAGCCCTTCCTCCACTTAAGTTATTGTTTTAAACCAAAGTTTACAGTGTCTGTTGGTGGCCGAGACCCTCTCTCTCCACCCTTTCTCCACCCTACCCTGAGGACCCTGGGACTCAGGAGAGGCTGGGGGCCCTGCTTACCCCCCTCTGCTCCTGCCCAGCCTGGGGGAAGGAAAGAGGGCAGAGGGGAGGAGGCGGGCAGCCCTCGACACCCCGCGGGCAGGGGCCGTGGGAGCCCTCATCCCCACCCTGGGCTGCTTCCTGGGGGCTCTCGGACCCCTCTCTAGGACCAAGTCCCCCATCACGCTGGGAGTGTGGATTCCAGCAGAGGAGCTGGAGAAAAAGTGAGACTCTCCACAGACCCCCTATGGGGGACCCCAACTCAAGGCCAAGGGACTGGGTGTGTTGGATGCTCATGACACCCCAGGCCCCTTTGCTGAGAAGACTCCTTGGACTATTTCCCAACCAACCCCACATACACCCCTTCACAAGCCACCCTTCCCCAGAGGCGGGGGGCCCTCTGCCCCTCCCCTGTGTACCCCCCACCTGTGTTCCGTTTGACCAGCACAGAAATATTAAACGTCCTCTATTCACCGGGCCGTGCGTGTGTCACCAAGGTGAGGGAGGGCAGGGGCATTAGTGCAGAAAGATGGCTCTGCTCTGGGGGCTGGGGCAGGAGGCGCCCGCTGGACGGTGGGGGCTCCTGTCGGGGTGCTTTCTGTGAGGGCCTGAGTGGGCATGCGTGGGCTTGTGCCCCGGGCACTGGCCAGCCTCCGGGTTTACAGCAGGGCCTTCAGTCCTCTGCTTCTCCTGTCCCCTCTTCCACGCATGGTCTTGGTGTTCTCCGGGAGTTTCTTTCAAACCAGGTCTCGCCTGTTTTCTCCCAAAGTCACAGCTCCTTGCCCCACTTCCTTCATGGGTTTGAAAGCCGAGTTCCTGCCAGAGTCTTTTCAGCAGCTAGTAGGTTCCTCCTGGGATGGAGAGGACTCCTGCTGCGGGGCCACCCCTCCCCATGTCTTCTTAGGGGGCTACCTGGATAGGCGTGTGTGCGCGCGCACGGGGTGGCATCGAGGTGCTTGTGGTAGGGCTATTATGGATGCACACATGCCCGTATTTGCAGTGTCATAATACTGTTGGGCTCGGGGTTGGAAAACTGTGCAGAGGGGACCCCGGACAGTTGGGAGAGAGAAGGAAAAGAGGAGCAGGTCCAAGCTGTCAAACCAAAGGTGGGTCCTGACACCTCTCTCAGCCCCACCTCAAATCCAGGCTCCCCACCTTCCCAGGCCCCAGTGCCCATCACCAGGCTTGTCTGCCAGTTCACTTCCTCCAGCACCATGGTTCTTGTCCCAACACTCCCTTCTCAAGGGTGGGGGCCCCCAGGCCTCTGTCCTGGGGCAGGGCCCAGGAAGGAGTGTGTGTACTTGGGGGGAAGTGCAGAGGGTGAGGAGGACGTGTTGAGAAAGCAGCAGAACTGAAATCAGCCACGCTCCCCACAAATCACCCAACTGCTGGAACTTTCCAGAAGCCAAACTTGGGGGGAAGTGGGGCAGGAAAAAGAGAGGAGGATCTGGAGATTTGAGTCTTTGTCTCAGGCCTGTCTTATCCTTCCCTATGCCATTTGACTGTCATCTGTTTCCTTCTGTGTCTCTCAGTCTCCCTGCTTTCTCTCTCAGTCTCACCCCGTCCACACCGCCTCCGCCCCCTAATACTCTGGACACTGGCGTAGAGCCTGGGGTGAATGAATTCCCAGTCCCTTCTTAGAGAGGGTCAAGCCAAGGGAGCTCGGCTTGGGGTCTCAGAGTCCCCCCACTCTGCCTGCCGCTGTCCTGCCAGAAACTGTATAAAGTAGCACTGCTGTGTGTGTACTCTGCCCTCTGCCCTCCCCGCCCTCCGCGGAGGCCGCCGGGGTCCCGTACAGTAGAACTAGTGCGTGTAATCTGTGTGGACAACAGCACTCTGCAGTGCGATAAAACAATTACCCATGATTTCACTGCGGCCGCTTCCCCTTGGGACCCACTGGCCTCCTAGAAAGCCCCCAGAGAATCCAGAGGTGTTGGCTGCCAACCTCACTCTCAGGACAGTCCTTCCAGCAGTCTAACTTCAGTTTCTGTGGCTTCAACTAGAGTCCTTTTTTTAATTCCTCCCCACAGGGATATGGCAAATGTCTGGTTAGTGCATTTGGACGTGGGGTGAAGACCTTAGGTGTGGGCAGAGGAGGGCTTGGGATATAAGAAACAGGAGGCTGCTGTGGATCTCCAGCTTCTGAGTGCATTGGGTTTACAGACTCAGTAATTTTCTTACTGATCTGACAGATCCCAGGTGGGGCAGCCACCTCCCCCATTATTACCTTCTAAATAAGAACCACTCTCCCATGCCCCCCAATCACGCTTTGTTGTCAGGAAGTTCTGCACGCTGTCTAGCCTCTCTCCTTCCTGCTGTTATCCGCAACTATTAGGGGCAGGTTGTTAGCTCTGGCAGGCAGCTGGTCCTGGTCTTCGTGTTTCTGCCCTGATGGGGAGAGGGAAGCTGTCTTCGGAACCTGGTGTCAGGCTGGCAAAAAAGGGATTCTCCAAGCCGGACATTTTGAGGATGGGAAGGTAGCACTCTGGCCTCTGCGATTGGCAGAAGTGCCCTTCCTCTCACGTTCAGAAAGCCCTTCCCTCCCCTACTGTTGATTGGCCGTCCTTGCCCAAGGTCTTTTGCCAATAGCCAGCAGAGGGCGCTATAGACAAAGCGGACTTTCTGCTCCTCTGGGCAAACTTGACCATCAGGGTGAGGGGGCAGGTGGCAGGCTCAACTTCCTGTGAGAACTACAGCCCTACAACCCTATGTCCCGAGAGCAGCCTCCAGCCCAGGGCAGGAAAGGTTCCTTCTGCCGTTTGGGGGCTTCCTAGACCTCTCCAACTTGTGACCTGTGAAGCATCCTGAACAGAAACAGGAGAAGGAAAGAGAGAGGAGAGGGATCTGGAGGGAAGCCTAGTATACCGGCCCAACAAAGGGCTCAATAAAGAGGTTTAATGGTGGTGGTAATCACATTCAATGAGCTCTTGTTACCTACCAGACACAGTTCTAGAAGCCTGATATTTCATGTAATCCTCACAACAACTCCGAGTTAGACACTGTTATTCTCCCCACTTTACAGATGAGGAAACCGAAGTCAGGGAGGCAAAGAGGTTCACAGAGGAAGCATGAAGAATGAGGAACCTGTGGTTTACGGTGGGGAAAGGGAAGAGGTGGGGCTCAGTGGCGTAGGCTCAGCTTTCTAGCAACACTGTTTACTTTGGCTTTTCCCCCCGCCCCCTCCTGGAGACTCCCAGTGGGGAAACTGAGGCACAGAGGGCCTCGGAGCCAGGAATTGGGCACTGGCTTCCCCAGCTGCCGTTCTTCTCTAGGCAGAACCAGGTAAGTGGGGGCTTGGAATAGTCTGAGGGACAGAGGGAACTGGAGAAAGAAGGCTGAAACACCCTACAAGAGTAATCAAAGGGGCCTTCTGACGGAATAGGGAGTCAGCAGTGAACACAAAGCGGCCCTTGTCTGATGGGGGGAGTCTGCAACGACCACACGCACACACACACATGAGCATACACCTGGGCGTGTGCGCAGACACGGGCACGCACGCGTGCCACGACTCGGATGTGTTTACACCAAGAGGTCCCTTCTGCCTTGAAAGCCTGCGATCAGCTGTAGACACCCAAGGCAGGGACCTCCCATCTCCCCGGCCCCGGGCCCCTCCACACCTGCAGGCTGCCTCCCCCTCAGGATCAAAAGTTTAGAAAAACAGCCCTTCCCAAAAAGGTGGTCATGGTGGCAGCCAAGGCTGAAAGGCCCTCTGTCCCAGCCAGGGGGGGCCGGGCATGGGGTGCGGGGATGGAGCTGGCTGCCTTTGGAAGATGGCCCGAGTTAGCGGGCGGTGCAGGGGTGGGATGGGCACACCGGGCGCTCTGGAGCTTCTGGCCCAGGCTAGAAGGCTTCTACCCCAGACCTGGAGCTCAGACTGTCTACACCAGGCCGCTTCCCTGGCTCAGGAGTGGGCCACGCACAGGGCCAGGGGTGGGGGACTCCAGAGAAGCACAGGGCAGGTCTCTGTTCTCAGAGGGTTGGTCCTTGGGCTGGAAAACTGATGGAGATCGGCCGGGTGCTGCATTGGAGTAAACTCAGGCCCTGCAGGAGTCAGCCCAGTGAGGGTTCAAATCCTGTCCCTGCTACTTGCTAGCTCTGCAGCCTTGGGAAATTTCCTGACCTCTCCGGGGTTTGGTTTCCTGGTCTGTAGAATGGGGTGGGGTAATCATCACGGGCTTGTTGAGAAGATTAATGACATAACATATAGAAAGGTGTGGTGCATGTTAGGCCCACAACACATAATAGCTCTTAATAAAATGCAGTCCTGGATGCCAGTTACAACTGGGGGTCAGGGGGACCAGACTGCTCCTGGAGGACGCCCTGGAAGAGAGGCTGGAGCTGGGGAGGGGAAATTGAAGTAGGAAGAGGGGACAGGAGAGACTTTCTAGGCCTGTAGAGGGGCTGCGGTGGGCTTGGGGAAGGTTAGTGTGGCAGAAAGAGGGTTGAATGGAGGTGGGAGAGGCAGAGGGGCAGAGAGGCCAGTGGGCCGCGCCTCTGTCACAGCCAACCCACGTTAACATCCTTTGACACTGGGCTCGGCCTTGGGCAAGTGGCTTGTGGTGCAGTTCCCTCATTTATAAAGTGCCGAGAAGAATCCCTAACTACTCAGAAGATTCGGGAACAGCGGATGTGAAGCCTATACACCAGGCCACACCCCTGGATACCCAGCAAGCGGTGATGCTGAGCATGATGCTGATGCAGATGAAGAGATGCACCCTGTGTCACTGAGGAGCTTACATCCAGAGGGGGGCAGCCTTGTGCTTAAACAAATACACAGTGGGCTTGGCAGGGGCCAA